CTCTGGTCCCGCGAGCCGGGCCAGGAGCTGGGCCTCCCACCGCAGCGTCCCCCGCCGCGCCAGTCCCCGCTAGTGGTAGTTTCTCGTAATAGCTTCTGTGTGTGAGCTACCGTGGATCTCCTTTCCTTCTCTTGGGGGCCGGGGGCGGGGGAAGGATTTGAAACAAGGACTCCCTCGACCTGCGAGGGTGAGGGGCTGCGGCCCGGCTGAGCCCCCGCCCCCCGCCCCGTGTAAAAAGCCTCCTTGTGCAATGGTTCTTTTCTGTTTGTTTTGTTTTGTTTTTTTCCTTTGAACGTGCTTCTTTGTAATGACCGAGGTACCGATTTCTGCTGAGTTCTCCCAACAACATGAAACTGCCTATTCACGCCGTAATTCTTTCTGTCTCCCTCTCCCTCTTTCAGATTTTCTCTTTCTCTCTCTCTCTCTCTCACGTCCCCTCTCAACCCCTCTCTCCCCCGCTGCCCTCCCTAGCTCGCTGGCTTTCTCTCTTTCGCTGGCTTTTCTCTCTTCTTTCCCCCACCCCTTTGGTTTGACAATTTCGTCTTAAGTGTTTCTCAAAAGAGATTACTTTAGTTAGCATGCGCGCTGTGGCCAATTGTTAAAAGTGTTCTTAGGTTTACTGTGAAGAGAATGTATCCTGTATCCGTGAATTGCTTTATGGGGGGGGAGGGAGGGCTAATTATATATTTTGTTGTTCCTCTATACTTTGTTCTGTTGTCTGCGCCTGAAAAGGGCGGAAGAGTTAAAATAAAAGTTTACAAGCGAGAACCCGAGACTGGCCTGGCCTGCGCTCTCTTTGGCTCCCAGGCTAGCCTAACAAGGCTGTTGGTTGGGGGGGGGGGACGCGGGGGAGATGGTCAGGGGGCTTCTTCCTTCCTGGGTCTGCTCAGAGGGCAGGTCGCAGCGAGGAGGGGGCGGGGGCTGGAGGCAGGTGGTGTGAGTCCCTCGGCCCGGCCCGGGGGCGCAGAGGGTGAGGGAGGCGGCTGCACGCGATTGGAGGAGAGAGGAACGAGGGAGGGGAGCTAGGAGAACACCCCCCCTCCCCTCGCGCTCCGAGGCCGCTGGGCCCCGGAGACCCCCCGCGCCCGGGCCGCGCGCCGCCGGAGAAGAGATGAGCTGGGACTAGTGGCTGTCTCCCGTGTGGGCCACTTCTCTCTTTGTTTCCGCGCGCGCGCACGCGTGTGTGTGTGTGTGTGTGTGTGTCCGGGGGCAGGGGGTGGGGGGAGATGGGCGTGCGAGGCTGTTGTGCAGGCTTATGTATTTTTATTTTTTTTCTCGGACTCCAGCAGCGGGGGCAGCAGGGCGCAGAGGGGAGATGCGCTTCCCTACCTCTCCCAGGGTGGGACGTGGTTACCTTGGCCCAGCCCCTTGGGCTGGAGCTCGCGGTCTTCCTTCCTTCCTTCGCGGCCTCTGCTTCTCAGGCAGCTCGGGACTGAGGCATCCGCCTCCCGGAACCGGGAAAGCAGCGAGCGCAGCCTGGCCCCGGCCGTCCTCCTCCCTTCCTTTCTCTCCCCACCCCCCACCCCTTCCTCTTCTCTTTTTTCTTCCATCCTTTTTCTTTAACCACCAGAAACCGCAGCGTCCAGCGCCCGGGGGCGCTGCCCTTAGGAGCTCCATCTCTGCCAGTATTTTTATTTTGGGGGCACCGAGGAAGAGCCTGGGAGTCCAGGCTCGCCTCCTCCCTCAACCTTGGGAGAAAGGCAACCAACTTCTCCTAAAGGCCCAGCCCGGATGCTTTAGCCTGGATTAATAAAGACTTGACTCACCCTCGCCCACCCGCCCGCCTGGTCCCGCGCATTCAGTCCCTGTGTTTGTCTCTCGCTCGGTCACAGGCTGGGGGGGGTGGTGATGGTGGTGCGGGGAATGGGGGGTGGGAGATAGGGGGACAACACGGATCCCCCCCAGCGAAGTAATTTATTTTGTCTTCCACTCAATTTCTTTCTCCCCCAAATCTCGCCTACAAGCCGCCTACAGCCCGAGGGTGTCGACAGCGGCCCTCGAGCCCCCCACCCCTCAGCCCCAATCCACAGAGCTCGGCTTTCCCATTCATTATTGATCATATTTTATAAATCCAACGACACACAATTTTTTCCACATTACCGGGAGCCGTGGGGAGGCCGTCCGGCCATTGGCCGAGGGGCTGTCACGTGGGCGGGGTCACATGGTCCGGAGAGGAAAAAGGGGGTCCTTTTTGGTGTAAATCTGGACTCTAATTCTGTAATATATCAAGGAATCTCGTAAAACCGACACTAAAACGTCCCTGCCTACAAATCATCCGGCCAAATTATGAGTTCATTGTATTATGCGAATGCTTTATTTTCTAAATATCCAGCCGCAAGTTCGGTTTTCGCTACCGGAGCCTTCCCCGAACAAACTTCTTGTGCGTTTGCCTCCAACCCCCAGCGCCCCGGCTATGGAGCGGGCTCGGGCGCCGCCTTCGCCGCCCCGGTGCAGGGTCTGTACCCCGGCGGGGGGGGCCTGGCGGGCCAGGGCTCGGCCGGCGTCTACGCGGCCGGCTACGGGCTCGAGCCGAGTTCCTTCAACATGCACTGCGCACCCTTTGAGCAGAACCTCTCCGGGGTGTGTCCCGGCGACCCCGCCAAGGCGCCGGGCGCCAAGGAGCAGAGGGACTCGGACTTGGCGGCCGAGAGTAACTTCCGGATCTACCCCTGGATGCGAAGCTCAGGTAACGCCGCCGCCGCGCACCGAGCGGCCCCCGGGCGCGTTCCCGGCAGGGGCTCCCCGATCGCTCTCCAGAGTGCTCAGGGCCGGGGGGGTCCGGCCCTGGGGACTGGGCACCCCCTCGGCTGCACCTGCCCCATGATGATGATGATGATGATGATGATGATTTTGCTCGGTGCTCTCAGGCTCGCTCAGCCTCTCCTGGCGGATCTCTTCGCCGACGCCAAGGCGCTCAGAGTCCCCAGCCCGCCCCCTACCCTTCCTCCCGACCTTTTAGCTTTAAATATTTATCAGCAGCGCCTACACAGGCTGGAGACGAGGCCGTTTGTCTTGGCGGAGGAAGGCTGGGGTTTGCAGAGAATAGCCATTAGGGTCTCCCTCCTCTCCACCTCCACCCCCCCTTCCACGTCTGAGATCTCAGCTCTGGGTGTGTTCCCCCCCCCTTCCAGTCCCAGCTTGGATAAGATATGGGGGAAGGGGCCATAGTGCTAAGCAGTTTTCCCCTCCCCTTCTTCTCAGCCAACCCCGCTCCCCCATTATTCCCATCAGGACAATTAGAGGTGGGCTCTAAAGGCCTAGATGAGGACTCAGCCAGGGACACTGAGCCAGGGAGGAAGGTGGAGGGAGGGGGGAGAAGGCCAAGAAGGATGAGGCTCTTGACCCCCCAGTGAACTTGGGAAGGGGGAGAGAACCAGAGAAAGGGGCAAGGGGCCTGAGGAGCCTGAGCTTACAGCTGGCCTACTCAGGTGCCATTCCCAGGGCTCCTAGACACCCCTGGAGAATTGGCTCACAAGTTTGGAGGTATCATTCCAGAAGGGTGAATCTCCTTTTAGGAAAGGGGTAAGGACACCATGGAGCAAATCAAGACCGGGAGAGTTCTGGACCTTCAGCAGCTGCTTTAGAAACTCCAAGATACCAAGACTTTCATGAGGTCTCCTGCCAAGCCTGGCTCAGACATCCTTTTTGACACTAGCCCAAAGTGGATGAACTTAGGAGCCAAATCCAAGATTCAGAAGTCTCAACACTTGTAGCCAGAGGTTTCCATTCTAGGGGCCAAGAGGAGCCCAGTTCTCACATCATTTGTATTAGTGGCCATGGTCTCCATTACCCACTGCCTTTCTGGTTGACTTATCAAAGCCCCAGTCTCATAAACATATCAAGCTTGGCTTTTATCTGTCTTGAAATTAGGGCCTCAGCCCCTCCTTTTCCCTGTCTCCTTCCCAGGATGCCTGGTACCAACACCTCCCTCCAATTCTCTTCAGAGTTCTGGTCCCTAACTGTCCTTCAGTCCCCAACCACACAGATCCTTCATGCCCCCCCCCAACCCAGGCCGCAGGCTCTCTTCTTTTCTTTGCTGTCCCAAGGCCCAAAGATTGCTGTGAAGAGCAGGGTTGTCTGGGAAGGCAGGCTGGTAAGCAAGAGAGTCTGGCCCTAGCTGACCCTCAGCCACTCAGTGGAAAAAAAATCATCAGAAGGCAGCTGCTGTCAGACCAACTCCACGCTCCAGGCTCCAGGGAAATCTGTAAATTCTCACCTCCTTTCATTCCACACAGGCTTGAGCTGGGTACTTGACTGTGAGGCCCCTTTGTTTCTTCTTTTCTTCTGTGTGTGAGGGAAAACAGGCCAGGCCTGGAGCTCTACTCCAGGGTTGGTTGCTGGTGTGGTTTCCACCGCCTCCTACCCAAAGACCATCAAAGTTAGCCTCCAAAAGGGAAAAGTCCCTGGGTTTAGGGAGGTTACTTGTGATTATCTCTGCCCCCCCTTCTATGCCTTATAAGTAGAACCCCCAGGAACCACCAGGTTAGATCCACCTAGCTTCAGAAGCTGCAGGCTGAAAAACAAACAAACAAACAAACACAAAGCCCTTCTTGAATGGAAAAATGGCGGGGGGGGGGAGATTTGCCTTGAAAGGTCTTTGAGAAAGTCAGTCCTTTGCATTGAGGGGGAAAGGAGCAACATGAAATATAGGCTGGGGGATGGAAAGCATGAATTTGTTTTGGTGAGAAAGAGGGTTATTTCACCTATGAACCTCAAGTAATCTGCACTCTGATTTTTCTCCTCTAAATACTGTACACAGGGACTGACCGCAAGAGAGGCCGCCAGACCTACACCCGCTATCAGACCCTGGAGCTGGAGAAAGAGTTTCACTACAATCGTTATCTTACTAGGCGGCGGCGCATCGAGATCGCCCATGCACTCTGTCTCACCGAAAGACAGATCAAGATCTGGTTCCAGAACCGACGCATGAAATGGAAAAAGGAAAATAAAACCTCAGGCCCAGGGATCAGCGGCCAGGACAAGGCTGAGGCAGAGGAGGAAGAGGAAGAGTGAGGGACAGAGAAAAGGAAAAAGAAGAGAGAGAGAAAGAGAGAAAAGGAGATGCCTAGTTATGAGAACTGAACCAGGAAACTCAAATGAGGGGGGGAAACCTCTATTTAAATAAAAAACAGGTTTTTTTTTAATTAAGGAGAAAGGTGAAATTTTGGTTTCTCAACACTGTAAAAAAAATACTACCTATAGGAAAGTCTGCCGGGTTTGTTTTGTACAATATGGGAAAGATATGATCTACCTGTTCTGTAGCTTTCTGGAATTTGCCTTCTCTTTTCTATGTTGCTATTGTAAGGTCTTTGTAAAATTTTACTGTTTTGTAAGCCCTCTTTTTTGCTGTCTTTGTTGACTGTGGAATAATATGTGGTTCCCTGTGTGCCCACTCCCCTGAGCCCTGCCTTCCCAGTAGCATACTTACTGAAAGGGCCTTAGGGAGCCCCAAGGAACCACCAACTAGCTCGCTAGCTCATTTGTCCCCATGCACCTGACCACTGTTCCTTGTTCCCACCAGCCATTCCTAGCTCCTCTTTACGTTCTATGTATAGCTGAAAGATGGACAAATAAAACAAGATTAAAAATAAACATACCCTATTTTCTGTCTCTCTGAGGACGGGAGGGAGGGGTCATGGTTAGTAATGGGTAGGAACCTAAGGCCCCTCTGCTTTGACTAGCCGCTGTCAGCCTTTTCTTTCTCTGCTGGGTGGGTCTGCTTTTTAACCCAATGCTCCCTACTCTGAAGATTTCCAACTAGTGAACCCTTCTATCAAACACACACACACATACATACACATACACACAGACACATGTATGCATTTGTATACTTTTACACACAACGATATAGACCAGTGCATATAAGAACACATATTTATAGGCTGTCATCACACAAAAATCTCTGCTATCACATCCAGTCATAAACAGATATTCATATGTTCACAAATAAACATACAAGCATTCACACAATTCAGGCTCTATGCCCAGAAGACAGACATTCTCATTCACACACACTCACAAGTAAATATACATTCACAGTCACTTGCAGGCATATTGATAGATACCAATGTACATTCACACATTGGTTTATAAACAGAAAGTCACATTTGCCCCCAAGTAAATACATCTACAAGCTCATATGTTCAGTTATACACTCACAAAAACATGACAAAACAAAAAAAAATTTAAGACTTGTTCTACAAAAGTCTCTTTCTCCTGCAGACCACCAAAAGGGGCAGTGAATCTGCTCCTGTAGACCAGGCACCAATACAGAGATGAAATCTAAAATGCTAGGCCTCATAAGGAGGAAGAGAGGGTCTGAAGGGAAGGAAAACACCCAAATCCTCACCTCTTGGGCAGCAATTGGACAAAGGCCAGATCTTCAAAAAGAGGCCTGTTAATAGAGGCCCAGAGTAATCTTCCTAGCCAAGACACTTACCAGCTTTCTACTGAATTCGGCAAACATTTGTGGCTACAGCTCTTTATTTCCAGTTATTTTACTTTCATTACATATTTTGTTTTAATGTACTCATTTTAAATGGATAGAGATGATATATTAAAAACTTAAAAAAAAAACAAGTCGTAGAAAGAAGAGTTTAGCGAGTTATCGGGTTGGTTTGCCGAATCTTTCCCGCGGTGGTGAGCCTAGCCGCCCCATGCGGCAGCTTCTTTTTCTGCTTGCTTTGAGCTCCAGTCACCGGCTATCTTGGGACCCACTCGGGAACACACAGAGAGAAAGACAAAGGAAAATAACTTGAGGGGGAGATTATTTCGTTTTCTTCATTTGGGCACCAGTATCTCAAACTCAAAATAGGCGGGGTATTTTAGGAAACTGTAGAAGTATGGGATATTTTTGCTCCCCCAAATCCTTGATTGTGGGACAAAAATCTGAAGGATAGTGTCAGTATAGCTAGATCTTTGGAGCTGAGGGTTTTTTTTAATTGAACAGCATTTATTCAATTATAAACCCTCAGTGGTTTAAAATTTAAAAAAAAACACCCCAGAGATCTCCAACAGAAAGGAGAAAGAGGGTTAGTTTTAGGAAATTTCGTTTAAATTTGTGACTAAAAGGTCCCCCCAATCCCTGCAGCTTCCTCCAATAATGACCACAAAACCTCTGGAGAGCACAAGGAGCTGTCATTATGAATATGGACAAGCCTCTATTTGGGCAGAAAACAGCCAGCATCTGGTTTTATGCCTAGTTTTTGGGGTGGTGAGAATTAGGTTGTTAAACCTATCAGCCTTGGCCCGCATCTACACCACTTCCCCCTGGGACAAAAATTAAGCCCCAGGGAATCTAGGGACCCCCACACCCACAATGCTGCAAGGCTTGTGGGTGTATGGGGAGGTTCACAATGTCTAGGGCTAGGAATAAGGGGACCCTTCAGAGTGGGGGTAAAGCTTTCATTTTGCCAAGATGGAGAAGGCAACTCTGGACACTGGCTGCCGCTTGCTGCTCCCACCACACCTCCAAATTGTCTTGGAATGGTCCCACGTGGAGGATTTGGGGGTGAATTTTCACTTGAAAAGAGCGGGGGCAGAGCTTCTGGAGACAAATCAAGAGGTTTCAGGGAGAACCCCTTTCCTAGCTGGACCTTTGTGACTTTTCTGCTCGGAATTTCTGCACCTTAAATCTCATTTCTTCCCAGATTAAGGTTTCCCCAAAAAGAGAAGGAGAAGAAAAGAAGATGGCGACTGAGAAAAGGGTTGCTGGTGGAGCAGCCATGAAGAAATGCAATAAATTCCTTGTTGTTTTATGAAAATTTACAACTTTGTGATAGAAGTTTATGAGTGGTTGAATCCAGCGATTGGCCGGCGCCGGTCATGTGGCCGGGCGATCGTGAACATGAACTTTTTATCATTTCCCTGGTGGTTATAATGCAGCATTCTTTTGGACACCACACCTAGGTCGGAGCACTGTCGTCCTTCAGGGCTCCAGCCTCTTGATATTTTTATACTTCAATATCAGCTCGATAGAGCAAAAGAGAAATAGGAAGAGGGGGGAGGTGGTTAGAAGAGAAGAGAGAGTGAGAGAGGGAAGGAGGGGTGGGAATAACACAAAAGAGAGGGAACCAAAAATAATTTTGATTCCTAAGTTAATTTGCTGGCTGATCTGGGATTTTAGTCATCATGAAGGGTAAATGGACAATCTGCTCAGGACTGCAGCCTGATACTATTTTTCAAAGCCAGAACTTACTCCATTTTCTATGCAAATGCCAGAAAAGCGAAACAAGCTCTCTCCCAAGTCTGAGGAAGGGAAACAACGGCTCTCAGGTTGGGACAATATTATCTGGAAGCTGGAGAAGAAACCGAACGCTCTCTTCCCCCCCTCTCTTCCCCCCCTTTTCAATCTGGAGTGGGAAAAGCAAGCCCCGAGGTCTACAAAGGTAAGGGAGATTCTACAATTCTTATTCTTTTGCATCGCTTTTGTAGGGGGTGGGGCCAGGGGTTTTCTCCCCGTGCACACCCCATAACGGGGTTGAACCCCACCTCTGGGCTCTGCAGGGCTAAGCTTCCCAGGAAATTCGGTGGTGGTTAGAGGGGTGGCTGCTTCCTGGAGGAGGAGGCCGGGCAGGGAAAATGGGAGGGGGGACTGAAAGGGCCGACGGGGCCAGTTCTAAGTCGCCTTGTTAGCTGGGAGGAGAGCTCAAGCGAGGGGACTTTGTAAGAGAAGATGGGGGGTGTCCAGGCTTCCTCGGAGCCAGCCAGAAGCAGCCAGTCCCTACGGCCTCCGGTGGGTTCATGCTCCCTTCCCCTCCCACCATCCTTCTTTGGACCCAGCCTCCCCAAATGCCCCCCTCCCGCGCGCATTCGCTTGCCCGGTGTGGGTAATTGGCGGTTCCCCGGCAGCGTTGGCATTAGGGCGGTGGCTCTGAGGGACGTTCTGGTCTCTGTAGGGCCTGGAATCTCCGCAGAGGCCGGCGAGGGTGAAGAGGCAGCTAGAGAGACACAGAAAGAACAATTCACAGGGAATGATCACTATCTCCCTTCTGAGACATTTCCGAAATTAAAGGGCTATGGGTGGAGGCACCCAAAGCTAGGGAGACTTCCCAGAAAGCCTAAGAGTGCCCAACACTCCCAATGGAGGGAGGGAGCCTCCTTTGGCAGAGAGAGAGAGAGAGAGAGAGAGAGAGAGAGAGAGAGAGAGAGAGAGAGAGAGAGACTGTGTTGTGGTTTTAACACGGTAAGTTACAGAACAGAACGTTGTTTTTGATGTGATATTGATTCTATTACTTGTGTTTTATTGGTATGGGATGTGTGGATTTCGGTGGAGGTGAAAATTGTCATGTGTGTCTGGTATGGAAACATTTCAAACTTTCCTGGATCCAAAATGTAACTGTGATGGGCGGTTTTGCATGTTGTTTTGGGCTTGTGCATAAAAACAAAAATAAAGGGAAGTAAAAGAGAGAAAAAAATAATTCTCTAGTAATTCCTAATTAGGGAATCTTATGGTGTCTGGAAAGGAAAGCCACCTGTGCAGAGTTCAGAGAATGAGTCCACTCCTTCTGGAGTCTAATTTTGTCTCCCAGCCAGGCCTGGAGGTGTAGGGGTGGGGGTAGGGCGAGGAAGCTCTGCTGAGTGGGAGACCATTTTTGTTTGTTTGTTTGTTGTTGTTGCTTTTTAAATAGGGTGGAAGAAGTTACAGGCCAATGGCAAGTACTAAGAAATAGGGCGAAAGGTTTAAAGAGAAGCTACAACGGGTGTGTGTGTGGGGGGGAGATACTGGATTAGAAGGACAGGAGATATTGTGGTTTAGTTTAGTTTGCATGAGGAGGTGATTACCTTTCTGTTTCTTAAAATCCAGTTGTAAGGCATTCAGCCTCAGGCCTCTGGTACCCCTGCATTGCAGGGCCCAGGGCAAGCGTGGGTATATTGGCTTTCTTAGTGCTGAGCTGGGAGAAGGGAACTGCAGCCACTTGTGGCACTGGAATGGGCGCCGCTGGGGGTGGGGGGATAAGAAAAGGCCCTAGGACAGACCTGGAGTAGCTTCCCAGAGAGACTCTTTGGCTTCATAGCAAGACAGGTTCCCCGCCAGCCACGCACGGTACTCGGGGAACCTATTCTCGAAGAGTGGAGGGAACCTCTCAAACCTACTCAGACTAAAGGTCTTTTTCTCCTGTAGTCTTGGCGGGTTATAAATCGTCCCTTAAGACAGTTTGCTGTGACCCAAATTATGCGGTTTGCTGCCATCTACTGTTCGTTCAGAGACACGCGGCTCTGCCACCGCCGGCTCAGCGACGCTGCCCGAAGCCCTGCCGAAGGCTTGGAGCCCCGGCACCGCGCTTCGGCAGGATTCGGGCCCACACCGATACGCGTTCGCCCCTGGATCTTGGCACCCAGATGTGGATTAGAGAACACAAGTCTCTCTTTAAACACTACCTCAACCTCTCCTTCACCCCATCCTAGCTCCAAACCTTCTTATGCGGTGGGCATAAGACATGTTAAAAAAAGGGGGGGTCTAACTGCAATCCAAGGACGAGGTGGGGTACCGAGGTAAACTGGAAGAGGATCAGAGCCACGATCCCCCCCGCCTCCCCATCACCACCCCCAAGGCACGGGAGAGGATGGTGTCGCTGGAGAGATCTGAGGCCAAGTCTGTTCGAGGTTTATTTGGTTTTCTTCTCAGCCAAAAGGGGGGGGGCGTCGGGAGGGGGGAGGCGCCGACCCAAGCAGTTCTACTTGGTTGTCAAAAGACAAACCAAGTCTGTGTTCTTCCAGTTGGCTGGTGAGTCTTGCCAGTTTTCTTAGCTGGTGGATCCGTGGTGAAGGAATGGAACCGAGTTTTCTAGAATCTGTTCGTGTCTGCAAGTGAGTGTCGTTCTCCTCCTCACTCCACCTCCACTCCAGCCCCTCCCCCTCGATCGTTTCCAGCGAAATCGGCGCAAATATGCTTTGGTGTGTGTGGTGGTGGTGGGTGGCGTTTGGGCATGAGAGAGGGGTTAAATCACGAAAGAACCAAAAAAGAAAAAAAAAACCAGTTGTAATTTCCGTTCCTACAGGACCCCCTCACACCCGCTTAGGGCGATCGCCTTCCCTGAGGGGACTGGCGAGGGCGGGGTGCGCGCCCCGGGCGCCGCCATGGAGTGTGGGCCCCTGTCTCACGGGTTACTGATTAGCTGGGGCTTTCAAGCCGCCGGAGGAAGCTCTGGCTGCTCCTTTCAAGGTGCTGTGGCCCCAGTTCCTGGGCGGGAGCTCCAGGAAATTGCCTGTGGTGCCAGGCGAGCCGAGGTGTTAACTAGGGTCTTTCGCCAGAAGCTGGAGAAGCCGCTGAGGTCTAGGGGTCGGGCAGTGCTAGCCCACAAGGCCACTGCAGCTCCGGCGCACCCCCACCCCACCCCCCGTCCGGTGCTTCTTGAATCTGTCTGGGCCTCGGGAGTAGCTCGTTCAGCTTTTCTGAGCGCCACAATGACTTTTGGGCAGCTGGATGGCCCAGCTTAGTGAGTCGCTGGGCTGGAGGGCCCCCAAGGGAACAAGAGGAAGATCTTGGGCTTGTCATAGGTTTTTTTCCCCCTCCCTTTGGGGCAATCAGAAGAGGCAGTCGACCTGGTACAGAGGGGCTGAACTATTTCAGGGTGCTTAGATTGCCTGTGGATATGGGGAGAAGGGAGGAAGGCGAGCTGGCTGATTGCCACCGCCCACCACTACCCCTAGAAGATCAGAAAGGATGCCGTTCATTTGCATAATGGAAATGAGATCTTTGTACTTCGATTTGGACCAGTCTATTTTAGGGAAAAGTGTCTAATGTCAGAGCCTTTTTTTTTTTTTTAATCTATGGGAGCCAGCACATCATATCTCTGGGGACATTTATGTTCCTTCAAACCCAAAGAGTCCAAGGAGAAGAACTGGGCTGAGATGCGTTCATCTGCTCCATCCAAGGCAAAGTTGGGGGTGGGATGAGAGAAAGTACCCACAACTCAGAGAACTGGTAAGGGGGCTTTGTAGCTTAGAGGAAATGGGAAGTCTGGATGTCTCAACACCTTCCCTCCTCAAACAGGCAAATGTTGTGTTCCTGAGGTTACTTCCAGAATTGTACTTCTGAGCTGAAGACAACAGTGGGTAGCATTTCCCGGGGACTGAAATTGATGTGTGTGCTCACCCGCAGGACTGCAGATTCAAAGTACAGAAAATTCCAATTATAAATCTTGCCATGGTGTCCATGGAATTCATCTGTTGTGTACTCAAGACTTGGTACACATCTGTCTGTCTGTCTATCTATCTATCTATCTATCTATCTATCTATCTATCTATCTATCTATCTATCTACCTATCTATCTATCTATCCATATATCTCCTTCACTGAAGCAGAGAGAGACACCCTGGACTGGCAGTCCTGTGTGCCTGCTGTATATTTACATATTCCCCCATGGAGACAGACAGACAGTCGTCTCTGGACGGAACCACAGACAGATTCGTAGAGATCTGGCTCCAGAAACCAGGCAGTCTCTGGCCGGGCTCTGCCTGCCTGCTCTTTTTCCCAAACAAACGGATCAGATGAATAAACGCTCATAAATACCTCTGGGCTTAGATAAGAGCGATGAGGCGCTATTTCCTTTCATGCCCGACTCCAGGCGCCCAGGCCCTGCCCTGTAGTGGCTCCATCTCCAGACAGGCAACCTGCAGAGGTGAGGTTAATTTGGGGGCTGCAACTCTAAGGACAAGACAGTTGTTTTCCTGTTTCTATCACCCTCACCACCTTTGACTATACTTTATAGGGAAGACCACACACACCAACAACTCCTTCCTTGGAGACATTGTAACTAAAGAGGAGAGCAGAGACCCAGGGCCCAGCTTCAGGAACTGAGTAGAGGGAGGTGCTTGTATACACCATTTCCCTCCTTGTTCCCCCAAATCTTATATCCTACTCCTCTCTACCAGTGGGCTGAATACATTGCTAGATTGTAACATATATGCTCCTCCATCATTAAGGGGTTTGAGTTCCTTTTCTTAAATAGTCATCAAAAGCCCGAGTCAGGCCAGGAGGTGATTGTAGGGAAGTGAATACCACTTTCCTGTGAAAGTGCTAGAATTTGCTCTGAGTTCAGCAAGTCTCAGAGGCTACTTAGCAACCAAATGAATCCTCATTCTTGTTCACCCAACCTCAGCCCTCTACCAGTTCCCATTCCCTGTTATCAATGGGAAGAGCTGGCCACCAAAAAAAAAAAAAAAGCCCAAAGAAGAAGGCAGAGGTGCTTCAGCCTGACACCAGAAGTATCTCACACCCTGGCCCCTTCCTAATATGTCCATACTGGCCTGTGTGCACATATTAGAATGTTGGAAACACATTGTGGCCCAGTCTAGTCTCTGTGCTCATTTTCCTTGGATGAGAGAGAGAGAGAACAGAGACTTACTCTCTCTCTTGCATTTAATCCTGTACACCTGCAAAGCTGAGGATTCAAATATGAGAGAAAGGTAGAGAGGCTATGAGATAGAAAGGGAAGGTAGACTTGAATAGGGGAGGTTGAGGAGTCCCCAGGAGGACCAGAACAACCTTTCCTCATAAAACTAAACCAGTACCAAGGTGTGACACAGAATTATTAAAAAAAAAAAAAAGAACTGCCAAGGTCTAGAGAGACCTAAGAAAGAGATAAGGGCATTTGACAGTGATGTCTGATTTTCCTCCATCAGCATAAGGGTTTGAGGACTCACAATTGGAAGACAATGTCTTCTTCCCTGTACCTAGACTTACTAAGATACCTTTAATTCCTTAAAAGAAAAAAAAACACGATAGTCCAGGATATGCTTATGTCATGTGGGGGCAGGAGGCTGAGATGATATAGATCAGAGAAACAGTCTCTTGGCTGGAAGTTACTCCTTACTCCCACTCTAGATCCCCAAGCGAGGGGATGATTAGTCTCTATCCCCAGTGTCCCCTCCCCTGCTAAGAGTGAGCATCAGCATACCGCTATGTGGGTTGTCTTGGGCAGGAGCAGCTGCAGGCTTCTGAAAGCTTGTAACCACGGCAGAGGCTTAGACCATCCTGCCACCTCCCCATTTTCTGGGTCTTGTAGTCAGAAGGTCCTAGCTTATTTACCCCCTCTGACCATATGAGTTGTGAAAAACATTTTTTAAAAACCCAACAGATTTGATAGAGACAGGAGAGAGAGAGAGAGAGAGAGAGAGAGAGAGAGAGAGAGAGAGGGAAAGGAGAGCTGACAAACGGGAGGGGGGGGGACGGATGTTCAAAACCCAGGTAGGAAGATGTTAGTTCTTTCCCTGTTTCTGAAACCATGCAAATTAGTTGACGACTCTGCTTTCCCTTCTGCCAACACAAAACCTTAAAAACAAATTTCTCAACGAGATTCTGGGACATTTACCCAGCTCTCCCTTGAGGGAATAAGCCCAAGCAACGCAGGGGTTAACTTTTCTGAAAACACAATTAACTTTTTCCTATCCTGCGTGGGGTGGTGGTGATTGGGGGGGGATATATTTATGTAATCACAGGGGAATGGGGTGGTCTCAATCCAAATGCTCCCTCCTTCCTCAAAGGCACAGATGCGTCTTTCGCAGATCCTGCGTAGGTAGAGCAGGACGTGTCGTGCTGTTGGGGAGAGAGAGGGAGAGGGAGAGCGAGGGAGAGAAAAGGGAAGGAGAAGAAGGAGGGGAAAAAAAAGGTTGATAGGTTTGTGCGCGGGTCCCTCGTGCGGGCTGCGCTCCTCCTGGGTGCTATTTGACAATTCCTGCCTCTGCCATTGGTCAGTGTTGGATCAGATGGTTGTATTTCCTTCTGGCCCTCACTGGCACCTCGCCATCCCCCCTCAGCTAAAACCCAATCTCGGATATACTACTAATAGGCGCGGCGCTCGGACTATAAAACACAACAAATCATAAACCCGGCGGAGCAGCAGCGGCCGCGCGCGCCTCCCCTCCCAATGAGTTCCTATTTCGTGAACTCCACCTTCCCCGTCACTCTGGCCAGCGGGCAGGAGTCCTTCTTGGGCCAGCTACCGCTCTACTCATCGGGCTATGCGGACCCGCTGAGGCACTACCCCGCGCCCTATGGGCCGGGACCCGGCCAGGACAAGGCCTTTACCGCTTCTTCCTATTACCCACCGGCTGGTGGAGGCTATGGCCGAGCGGCGCCCTGCGATTACGGGCCGGCGCCGGCCTTCTACCGCGAGAAGGAGTCGGCCTGCGCGCTCTCGGGCGCCGAGGAGCCGCCCCCGTTCCACCCCGAGCCGCGGAAGTCGGACTGCGCGCAGGACAAGAGCGTGTTCGGCGACACCGACGAGCAAAAGTGCTCCACTCCCGTCTACCCGTGGATGCAGCGGATGAATTCGTGCAACAGTGAGTGAGACTTTCCGCGATCGCCGGGTCCTCCCTCCACCCCCCTCCACTCGCAACTTCCCACTCGGGGATCGAGACACGAACTGAGCGCCCCTCCCATTTTCCCACCGGGGGCCTAGGTGGGCATCTCAGGAGACAGATTTTTTTTTGGGGGGGCGAGACCGCACCGGAGGGGGGGTCTCTCGTCCTGCCCTCTTGTCTACAGGAGTTACAAAGTTTGCAAAGTCCCAGCTGCACTGGGAGCCAGGGGGAGTGGTGAGTGGGCTCTTGCAGAGTGCCAGGCCACGACCCGGATTCTCAGTTTAGGGTAGAGAGAAGGGGACCAGGGGACGCATTCACTTGATTTTGCTTTCCTACGCCTTCCAACCCCCCTCTCCCAAGTCCTGGTCGAGCCCCCACCCACCCACCCAAAGACCGCTCTATTAAAAACAGAGTGCGTCATATAAGGGGTGGGGGCGGTATGATGTCTGCCAGGGCGAGCGGAGGCTGCCTGAGACCGTTTCTCTGGGAGTGGGGGGAGGGGGGCTGGGGAATGGTAGGGCTCCAGGAAAAAGGGGTGGTAGAGGAGGAAGAACTAGAGGGAGAAAGCGGAGGGGGAGTGCGGGGAAGGGGGGGGGAACCGGCGCCTGGGTCTCAGGTTGGATTATTTGTCGGCTTTAAAGTCCCAATTGATGTCCATTAGTGGGACACGAAAGTGAGGAGCTGTTAATGCGGACTACGGATCGATCCATGTCATTACGGATTAAGAGCTAGAATCTATCATTCATTGGGTGGGCCAGAGATGGGGGAAAAGTAGATGGATGGGAAAGAGAGTTAGGAAGAGATACACCTGGCCAGCCCCCCCCCCGCCCCAACTCAGGTGGGAGTTTCAAACTCCTCCCCTCCCCCACCCAAAGTCTCCACTGCGAACTCAGGCCTGGGAGTCCGGAAGGGAATCTGGAGAGGGCGCTGGAGGAGTGGAGGAGGGGGCAGGGAATTGGTGGGGGGAGATTGGAGGGTAGGTAGCCTCCTCCTACAGGCTGGAGTCCATGTTTGAGGGTCGAGTGGGGGGAAGGGTTTGGGGACCCCCTGACCCACGGCCTCAGCATCTGCACTTTGCGTAACAGGTTCCTCCTTCGGACCCAGTGGTCGGCGAGGCCGCCAGACCTACACTCGTTACCAGACTCTGGAACTGGAGAAGGAATTTCACTACAATCGCTACCTGACCCGGCGGCGCCGCATCGAGATCGCTCACGCGCTCTGCCTGACCGAGCGGCAGATCAAGATCTGGTTCCAGAACCGGCGCATGAAGTGGAAAAAGGAGAGCAAACTTCTCAGCGCGTCTCAGCTCAGTGCCGAGGAGGAGGAAGAAAAACCAGCCGAGTGAAGGTGCCAGGAAAGGGAGGGGGGACGCGAAGGGAGAGGCCTGTGGGGGAATCGAGAGCGCCTGAGAGCCGAGAGAAAGCTCTGCGGGCGCGGGAGCCTGGGGACCTGCTCTCCAGCGCTAGACAGGCGGGGTCCAGCGCTCTCCTGGACGACCCCGCCCGCAGAGGTCTCCCGGGGGCTCTCAGGCCGCAGCGCCGACCCCACCCAGCACCCCAGCGCCTCCTCCCTCCCCAAGGAATCCGCCTGGGCCAGATCAGGCTCCCTGGTGAGAACTGAGGAGCGGACTCACTTGATGTTTTCCTGGAAGCAAAGCAAAAGGCTCTTTTCCATGTCGAGTCTATTTCGTCCATGTCCCCCTGTGCACGGTTCAATGGTAGATTCGCTGTCCCTCAGCAGGGCTGTCGAAGACACCCTGACCCCAGACTTGTCTCTCCCAACCCCTCCCCAAAGCCACTGGAAGGAGCACATACTACCTAGAAGTAAGAAGAGGAGCCTCAGAAGAAAACAAAGTTCTATTTTATTAATTTTCTATGTGTTGTGTTTGTAAGTCTTGTCTTAGCTCTGGACGTGAAATACTTCGGTAATAATATTAATATTATTAATAATGATAATAACAATAAAAACGTGAAAACTCGCCGCTCAGTCACCTCCGATCATCCCCTGCCAACCCCCTCCCCCCCTTTCAACGTTCCCCAGCCGCCCTGGGGTCCTTTAGCGCGAACAGCTCAGCAAACGCTACAGCCCTGGTCTGCCCCAGGGCCTCCCCAGTCGCCAGACTCGACTCGGAAGTTACAGTTGAGATAAAGGCTCCAGCAATCGGTCCCGCCCAGGCTCCAGCTCAGTGCTTCGCAGATGCTGTAGCTCTCAACTGCCTTTCCTCGCTCACACTTGGGGGGACCGGGCAGGGCCCTTTCCCTCTTACTCTCTAGCTTAGCCCCGTTTGTCTCTTTTAGAAGGGAGCCACTGAGGTCTTCTAGCCCAGAGCCTCGGCAGACACCGAGCTGGGCTGGTCCTGGCACCTCTGAAAGGGCTTTTTCTGTTTTAGGCTCGCCCAGGCCCCTGGCCTTTGGCACGCCCACATGGCTCGGTCGCTGCTGGTCTTGGCCCTCGGCTCTCGCTCGTTCTGTGGCTCCCGTGATGGAAAAAAAAAATGGTGCCATTTGGGCATCGCTCTGCCCTTGGCTGAAGGCTGCTGGGTGCTCCTTCAGTGGGATCACACTGATAATTAGGAGAACGTGAAGCCGCCAGCTTCAGAGAGGGAAAGGACCCGACTATTATCCATTCTTTGGAGACCCGGCGGCAAGAGGCCAGGTGATGGTGCATTTGGTCTCATCGGCTCCACCCAAAATGGCCTATTTTCTCTCCAGGCGACAAGTTGCAGACACTGTTTTCTTTTCTTCCTCCCTCTACCCCCCTTTTTATTTTTTATTTTTAAAGAAAATAGCCCGCCTGGCAGAAGGGGCCCAGCTGCGGAGGTCTCTGGCCGCCCAGCGTGCTCAGCAAGGGGCCGCGGGTCCTTGAAACTCCTTCCCTAAGAAGGTGGTAGGCCGATGAGCAAATTCTCAAATTGTCAGCCACCAGCAAGAGGCCTCTAGTGGGGCCTCAGAATGCAATAGCTGGCATCTGTCGAGAAAGCAAAGGGGTTCTGTTTAACCCCAAACTCTCAGACACATGTTATCACCCAAATCTAAAGCAGCCTGGGCTACAGCTGCAGCAATCTTTTCAGTAACCAGGCTGCTTCTGTTACTCTTCTTGGGTCCCTACCCTTTTCTGCAGTTCTCAAGCCTGGGATAAGGCCAGGAAGAGAATTCCAAACTTCCTAGGGCCCAGAAAGAGTGAAGGCTTTCCTGCTTCTTCAAGCTTCCAGCCCAGCCCTACGGCTCCAGCGGTGGCTCTGGATCCATCGCTACAGCCACACCAGGAAGTAGGCCTAGCTGAGCTAGCAGGGAAAACTCGTCATAATTGTTTTTCGCACACAACTTCCACCCCCCCATTTCCGCCCCCAACTTGGGAGACTTGTAAAGCCCGAGTAAGGGGAAAAGCAACTCAAATCTTTGTTTGATCCAGAGTTACACTACTACTACTAATACTAATCATGATAAAGATAGACTAACCCTACCCCCAAGAAAGTGGCTAAAAGGCTCAAATCCGTTCTGTGAAGGAGTCATCCCTGAGGGTGAGCCCCAGCCCGGTTTCTGTCTTGCTCTCCCGGTTGCAGGGAGCCTGTTAGGGATGGAGCCACCGCCGCCATGGCGGTCTGCGGTCCGCGCTCCCGTCGATCGCCGGGAGGTGGCGCGCTCTGCTCAGAGGCCAACGCCGCCAACCTTCTCCTAGTTCCTCCCCCTTCTCCTTTTTTTTTTTTTCCTCCCCCCTCTCTCGGAGGTTCGCATTGAATCGGCCCTAACGATTCTCGGATCGTCATTATTTGTAACCATAGAGCATGAATTACCTCTTGAGGTCATCAGCGAGAATTTACGACTGGTCAACAAAAGCACGTGATTCCCTAACGCCCCCCCATCCCCCTTCCAAGCCCCCCCCATATTTGGCCGCATACATAGCAAAACGAAGTACAGTGCATCGCTATAATTCATTAATACATCATAAATCGTGAAGCACAGGGTTATAACGACCACGATCCACAAATCAAGCCCTCCAAAATCACCCAAATGAGCTCGTACTTTGTAAACTCCTTCTCGGGGCGTTATCCAAATGGCCCGGACTATCAGTTGCTAAATTATGGCAGTGGCAGCTCTCTGAGCGGCTCTTACAGGGATCCCGCTGCCATGCACACCGGCTCTTACGGCTACAATTACAATGGGATGGACCTCAGCGTCAACCGCTCCTCGGCCTCCTCCAGCCACTTTGGGGCGGTGGGCGAGAGCTCGCGCGCCTTCCCCGCGCCCGCCCAGGAGCCCCGCTTCAGGCAGGCGGCGTCGAGCTGCTCCCTGTCCTCGCCCGAGTCCCTGCCCTGCACCAACGGCGACAGCCACGGCGCCAAGCCCTCTGCTTCGTCCCCTTCCGACCAGGCGACCCCAGCCAGTTCCAGCGCCAATTTCACCGAAATAGACGAGGCCAGCGCGTCCTCCGAGCCCGAGGAAGCCCCGAGCCAGCTAAGCAGTCCGAGCCTAGCTCGGGCACAGCCAGAGCCCATGGCCACCTCCACAGCCGCGCCCGAGGGGCAGACTCCGCAGATATTTCCCTGGATGAGGAAGCTCCACATCAGCCATGGTAATTCTGTCTCTATTATTATTATTTTTGTGTGTCTCCTCGGCTTTCCTTCTCTGTGTTGGGGAGGAAGGGCAAGGGGAGCTTGGCTTTTCCATCCAGATAGATTAATTTTTCCAAAGGGGAGAGAAGTCTCTGAGAGGGTCCTCACTAGCTCCGTGGACAGAGCCCAAATAGGGTCTTTGGCAGAAGGGTGGGCTTAATTTTTTAAATAATTTCTTCCCAGGCTCCGTTTTTAGGTTTTATTCTCCCCGCCAGAAGCCAGCTGGGGGATGAAGGATGGGTTTTGTTTTTTGTTTTTGTTTTTTTAATGGGATGTGGATAGGGATCCTGCTTATCTCTCCAATTTTCAGAGCGTTTGCTTGCAAAGGAGGGCTGAGCAGAGAAGGGAGCATTCTAGGGCAAAAGTGCAGCCGCTTCCCTCGCTCCCTCCCGGGGGCGAGCGACTGCCTGAGTCCAGCCATGGGTGAGGCACTGACTGGGAGGCAGCGACAGACAAAGCCGGGCTCATGAGCTGCCATCAGAATTGGGGGCTGCAGGAGAAAGGGGTGCAGCATGGAGTCTGGATGCGGGCATCTGGAGTAGAGAGGATGGAGTTGCGATGAACTGGGTGCTGGGGACGCCTGGGTCCCGCTCCCGCCCCCCCCCTTCCCAACCAGTGGCCTGCCTCCTGGAACCAGAATAACATTGCCTTGGGGGCTCTACTCTATCTGCTCTTAGATATGACCGGGCCGGATGGGAAAAGGGCCCGGACCGCGTACACCCGCTACCAGACCCTGGAGCTGGAGAAGGAATTCCACTTCAATCGCTACCTGACCCGGCGGCGGCGCATCGAGATCGCCCACGCGCTCTGCCTGTCCGAGCGCCAGATCAAGATCTGGTTCCAGAACAGGCGTATGAAGTGGAAGAAAGACAACAAACTGAAAAGTATGAGCCTGGCTACAGCCGGTAGCGCCTTCCAGCCCTGAGCCCGCCCAAAGGAGCCCTGGGTGGCCCAAGAGCCCGCGCCACCCCCACCCCCACCCCAGCCCCAGCCCCTCCAATCTTCCCTGCCCGGCCGCTGTGCGCTGGGGACCGGTTGCCATGAGCCTGCCTCGCCCCAGCCTTGTGTTAAGATATTTCGTTTGGTCTTAGGTCTTCCTGTGGCTCCCTCTCTCCTGGACTGGTTATCTTGTTATTATTGTTAATAATAATAATAATTCTTATTATTTTTTTCCCTTCATGCTCCCCATTCCCCTCTGCTCACCCCCCAAATCCACCAGTGTTTCTGAATGTTTGTGTCTGTGGTTGCACTGTTTTCCCCAGGATAAAAAAAAAAAAAGAAATTCGCATGTTTAATGTGAACTTTCCCCCTTCCCCCTCTGTGTTCTAACTTATTTATAAAAAGGATGATTGCTGCATTTTGAGTTTCAGCTGGAAACTTCTCTAAAGGGTGGCAGTTGAGGTGGTGGAGTCGTGTGGGCAATGCTAATAGAAGCCCAGCTGAGCTGGCCTCTGTATCTCTTTTCACCTTTCGCCTTCCGCCTCCCTCCCCACTTCTTAGGCCTAAATCTCCCCTTGGCTTGGTCTTGGAGTGGGTCCTGGGGTGAGGGAGATCCAAAGGGGTGATGTTGAGAAGAGAGAAGGAAAATAGTGAGATTTAAGCTCCTGCTGCCTGGTAGGCCCCACAAGGCCTGGTCTTGGGAGAGTATGGAAACAAACAATCCTCAGTGTAAAATGTCTGGTGTTTATCTCTGTGCATCTGTGGGTCTGCCTAGAGGACCCAAAGCTTGTAAATATGGGACTGAGTCTGGGTCAGACCCATCGCTTCTTCCCCACCATTTTGCTTCCAAGACCATTTGTAGTGAGTGAGTGGATGCCGTGCTTCGTGTGAAATCTGTCTTTGCCAGGCCTGTCTCAGTGATTCGCTTCTGGTATTTGTTTGTAGCTTTCCTTGAAGTCAAATAAATGTTTCCCCCACTCCACTGCCCTTCCACTCGTCTTTTCTCTGGGGTCTGCCTCTTCTCATCACTGGGCACACCCTAGACCAGTCTCCAGAAACTTAGGTGAGAGGAAAGGAGCAGTTGGGTGCTCCTAGCAACCTCTCTCAACCACCTAATCCCAGGCTTGGTCACTGATGCTTGGGCCAGAGAATGGGCCTTGATGACAGGATGCCTGAGAAATCCACATACCCCATGTGGGACTGAGATATCTTTCCTGGCCTTCCACCAGCTGGCCAGGAAAAAAAACACACACAAAACACCAAAACAACAACAAAAAAGCCTTAGAAAACTCTTCAGGAAAAGGAATTTGGGCCTAAGTCTTGAGCAGGAGACTCCTGACCTTTCGGGAGTGGCAGAGGGCTGAAGAGCTGCCCTGTTCCCAAATCCAAATTCAACTCTGCCACACACTAAGGCAAAAAAAAAAAAATCAGGTTAATTTGGAAGGTTATCTCTAAGCCTCAGCATTCTTGTCACTTTTCAAGAGCTCCTTCTCTCCTGGGACCCAACTGACCTTGGAGTTACAGTCCCTCTTGGAAAGACCTCTGTTTCCCCCTTGCAGCCTGGCCCCAGGCCAGGGCCCAGTCCTCCTCCATACAAGTCAGCCTCCACCCTGTGCGCAATAGTCAAGTCTGGACACTTACCCGGTCAATCCCTTCCAGCTGGACCCAACTTCTTACAGGACCTGGGGGGAGGGAGGGGGGAGCTGATGAGGAGGCACGAAGGGTCTTGGAGGCTCTACTAGGCCCTCCTTCCCCTTCACCCCTGGACTTTGTTCCCCCTTTGCCGATAGCAAACTATCCCAAAAGTCGCTATGACATTTAGATGTCAAATGGATAGGGGTTTTATCTCGAAGTTAGATCGTAAAAATCGCCGAGAAGTCAGACAGATACCCCTCACTGGCTCGAGAAAGTCACGTGAGGTCCATAAAGTTAGTTTTATGGTTTTGGGGAGTTGACACTGCGCGGTATATTTCACATTCTCCAGAATGTTAAGTGACACTTTAACTGCTCGCTGTGGTGGGGAAGGGGGCAGAGGTAGGTGAGCGGCTCTTCCCAGCTTAGAGCAGCCGGACCAACCTAGAAGGCAGTGGCGCAGCCCAGGCCCAGCACTCCAGCAGTAAGTGGCTTCTAGCTTTCACTTTCTCCCCTTGGCAGTTTTAGGGTTTGGAACTAAGGGAAGGAAATCTTGCTTCCATCCAGGGCTATGGAGTGGTGCACGACAAATTAGCTAGTTTTTCCTACCCAGTTCTGAGAAATGGGGTGCCAGTTCTATAAGGTTTCAGTGATCAGGGAGGAACTGGTTCATATTTGCAGGCATATGTATTTTACTCTGTGAGGATGGAAGGTTGTCTGAGATACATAGTCCTTCAGTGCCTTGGAAATTTAGGGAGCAAGAAGAATGGGTGTGTACTATTAGAAGAAGGGCCTGATTTGGGGGGTGGGGGCTGCATTTCACAAGTGGTGATCTTCAGACAAATGTCTCCCTATAGGGAGGGGGAGACTTTATGACATTTATTTGTTAAAGGTGCCTCTTCCGCTGGCTACTTTTATCTGGCTACACCTAAGCTGAGAAAAAGCAAAAGGGAAGGAAAGAAAAGGCAAGGAGGCTGCTGTGGCCCATGTTGCCCTGGGGGTACTTTCTGGCTTTTGGTTCTTCGAACCCCTTGGAAGGCAGTTCCTTCCTTTTCTGTGGCCTGCCTCGTCAGAATTCTCCAGAATGGAGCATGCAGCTTTTTTGGTATCCATCTTTGGTCTTCGATGACAAGTAATCACTTTTACTAGGTTCTTTAAAGGATTCTGAGATCAAAATGGGTAGCAGACAGAGGAGATAATGTCCAATCCCAAACCTAATTCCTGGCCAAGAGAGAGGGAGGAGAGGTGCATCTGCTCTGGCCTGGTTGTATGAGGTGGTTAAACAGACCCAGGCAAAGTCTTCCACAAAGAAAACCTATCCAGGGACAGGGACCTCAGCTATGGGAAGGCATCAAAAAGATATTGGAGCTGGGACAGACCATTGGAAAGGGTGCTCTTTTCTCTCTTTTCTTTCCCCTTTCTCTCTTCCCTTTCTCAGACCTTTCAGGGGTCCCTTTGTTTTGTGGCACCGCAAACCAGAGGTGCTTCAGGATTTGACTGGGGGAGGTGCATTTTCTAGGGAAAAGTCACCTTTCTTTTGAAAGCCAGAGGCCTCTTCTCCATCAGATTGAACCCCACTTACAATTGTTTTTTTGTTAGATATTGTGTCCAATGATTCTGCTGCTGCTGCTTCCTTCTACCAACCCACTATCTTTCCATTCTGCTTACCACCTTGGATGAACCCATCCCTGGAATTAGATTTGTTGTATTTTCAGGGACTTCGGAACTTGGAAACTAGGAGGAGATGGTCCCTCAGTTTCCTATTAAGGGGTTATTGGCATTTTCTCCTTCTTTTTTCCAAAGCTGCTCACTATTTTCTGAACCCACCATTCCTTGCCCATGCCGGGACTTTCATGGGAGACTCTTAAAGAGGCTTTGAGAGCTGAGGTATGGCACAGTGGGCTTGAGTGATCCTAGTTTGAAGCCATAATTCCCCAAGAATGATTGGCATTTGAATTCCATAAAAAGGAGACACTGGCCAGCTCTGAAAGAATTCTAGTAGACTTTAACATTGGAAAAACATTTTGGAGGTATGGCTTCCACAAAGGTTCTACTCTCTGCACTGCAAAGAGATTTGAAAATGGTACAGAGGAAGAGTGGAGCAGGGAACAAAAATCCCACCTAGGGCTTCGTGGGGAACTTCATTCCCATTGAGCCCCTGTTGTCTTTATTCTAGCTTCCCTCATGGAGCCTTTTTTTTTTTTTTTTTAGGAGTCTAAAACCCCTGACAACTAGGTTTGCCCAGAAGGTATTTTTTTTTGTCTCTGCATAGGAGTTCTGAAAAGTCTGATTAAGACATTATGAGACCAGTGGCCTAGGAACATCGACTGGGTGTGTCTGGAAAGATTTTCTTTTTGTTTTGTTTTGAATGGCAAAGAGAAGCCCACTTTCAACTCAGAGGTCAAGCCTTTGGAGTGTCTTCTGGATGGAACCTGAGGAATCCCTGGATGGGCTTTTCCTCTTCCTCATTCCTTGGACCACTTGTCTTCCTTGAAACCCCAACAGGACAGGTTGGGGGTAAGAGGATGAGAGCTGCTAAAAGATTTCTGGGGCAAAGAATTTTCCTATGCTCTCGCCTCCCATGGTCCCCTCTCTGTGGAAATGCTGCTTCACTCCACACTTCTTCTCTTCCTCCTTACTTGCCCACTGCTTCCTCTCATCTGCCAGTTCAGGCCTCCGCCTCTGAGCTAAAGAAGAGCCAGCACTCTCGCTGGCTCCTCAGACACTGGCAGCCAGAGATTAAAGCTACATTTTCCCTTTTGCTCTAAGGCCAGCCGGGCCACCACTTAGTAGAAATTTGATTTTGATTTTTTTTGGGGGGGTTTATTTGGTTGTTTGTTTTGTTTTGTTTCTATGTGGCTATGGGGTGGGAGGAAGTATAAAGAAGTGTAAACAGGAAAGCCAGCAGGGCCTGGAGTTCCAAGTGCCCATATTTCATCAGCCTTCCTCTCCATAACCACGGCTGGCTAGGGACACTTAACCCTTCCCTGGCTGTGAGAAGTTATTCACTGAGAGAAGGGTGCAGAGATCCAAGAGCTATCTCTTTTCCTTGCATGTTTCCTTTATCCCTGGAATCAGAGTTCTGGGGCAGAAGCCAAAGATTTTGAGCAAAGAAGAAGACAGACTGAGCACTCAGTCTCCTAGCAGGACTGCACTCGCTGCCTGCCTTTCCCAGTTGAGGACTCAGAGACCAACATGGGAAGATGAGGCTAGTAAGAACCCCCTACCCTGTTTTACCGGAAGGGCCACTGGTCACCTTATCCATTTTTGGAGTTTCTCAGGATTAATTTGATTTTGAGGCTGGGAATCTGTCCAGAGCAGGATTTATCGATTGCTGCAGTGCTGTTACACATCCATATTAATTAACTCAGACACCGCCTGTTTGGGAAGGGGGAGGGGAGAAATGGGGGCCCCTTTGAGAGTGGACATTTCTCCCTAAGTGCCCCTGAGGCTGAAGTTGGAGAAGCCAAAAAGGGTTTTGTGGCCCTCCTCAAGCATGAAGTCTCTGGACTTCAGAGTAAGGGTGGGGTGACTCAGTTGTCACAGCCAGACTGGACAGAAATCTCCTGGGGATGGAATTAGCCACCTCCCACACTGGTTCCTGACAGCTTTGGCCCAGTTCTTCCCTGGGTGAGTGTAAGGTTGGTGTGATACAGACTCTGGGGTGGAGGGATCTTTCTAGAAAGGCTTACGCCTCTTCCCCCACCTTCCTTTCAACTTCCCATAGGCAGATGCTTTTTGATGGCTTTCTGGTTAGTTTGGTCTTGCTTTTCCTGTCCCGTTTGTTGGTGGTGGTTGTGATGATGGTGTTCTGGCCTTCCCTTCCTCTTACCCCTCCCTCCAAAAAGTGATTAAAATCTGTTAAAGGATTTAATTAAGAGAGTTAAATGAAAAGGAAGGAGGCGCAAATGAGTTGGGGGAAAAAACCCACACCAAAGCTATTCTCAACGATTAAATCGCCATTTTAACAATATAATGGAGTTTGCATCCTGAAAGGGGAAATCAACGCTCATATCTCATCAATAATTCATAGAGTTCGGGATCACACAGAGGTCAGCAGACGGGGGCCGCAGCGCCGGCCTACGTGGGGCTCTCCGTGCTGCATACATTACCGCCCGGTCCACACCGCCACCACCACCCACCACCTCTGCTGCTGCAGGCCTGGCCCAGGGCATGCCGACAGGTTTAGGCCGATCTTTCCTCCTTTCTTTTGGCAAACTCACGGAGACTCAGACTGTGGACTTCAAGATGAACTGTGTGTGTATAGAGGGCGTTTTAGGGGACTGGAGAGGATTAGGGAACCTGTGGGATCTTGATTGGCACCTTCTCCAGTTTTAATTTTTGCCTCCC